CCCCAAAACCCCAAAACCCCAAAACCCCAAAACCCCAAAACCCCGGATATATGGAATATAATTGATTATTTATAATTAATAAAAATAATGGGACTATTTCCAAAATGAGAAACATTCGCTGATTGTGGAGAAGCAACCCACATTGTCAGAAAGACTGCCAACAATCTATTGGCAAAAGATGTATTTGTTTGAGGTAAATGCATGATTACCACATTCTCCAATGACGACTGTTAACTAATTCCATTGATAGAGCCAATTGAAGAGTGCCTTGGTTTGAGTAAGAGCTTACAAGCAAGTCTCACCTTAGAGTTGGCTTTTTTGCAGTTTATATGCAATTCTGTTATCTTTAGATAGCTTCGTTATAAAAATCCATAAAAATTGACATTTTAAGTGAATCAGTTTTAAAGTGATAAAAGCTATTTTTAAGATACTAACATTTTATAGTCAGTTACAATATCAAGAAATTGATCAGTTTTAAAGACCAACACAAGCTTCATAAAATATGGGATGATCTTTCTGGAGAGTTAGATAGCTTTAGAGACTTATTCCTTAAGTTAAAATGTAAGTCACATGCTTTAGTCGCCCTCGCGTCCACTGTTTTTTCCTTCATCTGGATATTTTTGTTTGATCTTTATTTGGACTTGACTTCCAATTGATAGATCAGAAATTGCCAGAATCGTCTTGTAGCTTGATAGATCTTTGGTTTCATAAAATATTTATTAGTTACAAAGCTTTGATAATTACTTACCAATTCTTGTTTTATCAGCGAATCAATTTATTCCAACTATTCGGAGCTTCTTTTTACTAGAATCTGGAAACAGATTAATCAATTATTCTATCTCTTCAACTCATCTTCAAATTTGCATAATAATTATCGTATTTCTTGCTTATCCTCCAACCTAGGTAGGCTTAGGGAGATAAGACTTGAGAACAATTGAGGTGATCTTCCTCAGTTACAGGACAAAATCAAGACCTTGCTCAATGGTATTGAGGACTCTAGAGCGATGAAGTACTATCACAAACAATTGCATATCAGAGCCTTTCACGAGCACAAAAAAAACACAAACTTATTAAAGAAGACGTCCATATCTCCCTCAGAGACAAGTCGACTGCCTTAAATCAGAGGATCCAGGATACCCAGATCGACCCTGTAGAGCAACTACTACAGAATCCGACTCAAGAAAAGGATAGTTCTGAACAAGTTTTAGGTATTTCTCTAAACTCTTATTATTCAAACAAAAAATAAGTTTCAGTTTTGTTTAAGCTTTTTTATGATTGATTTCCTTTCAGAATTACCATGCTCATATTCTTTAAGATAGTGTTCAAGATATGAAGATTTCTAGTCTGCAAGACCCCTTAGTTTTCACTCAGAGGCAAGAGCAAATTGATCAGCATATTCAGAGAATCCAAACTCATAATGAGAAAGAAGACAATCACAATGCTGATTTTGAGGAAATGAATGCGCAAATAGACAACCTCGCATCATCTCTTAGAAAATCGAAGTGCACCATCACCCATGCAGAACTGAAGGCTATTCATAATCCTATTCTGGATAAATCAGATAACTTTAATTCATCATCTATCATAAATTCCACCCTGACCAAAAACACTCCCAAACTCCTTGCTCATCAAAATCCCCAACCTCTAAACTCCACTCACCCCTCCTCTCTCACCCTTCCCTCCCCTCCTACAATAAACTCCACTTGGACTTATCCTCTGCCCCTGGAACAACTCTACTATAATCCCTGCAGCTCTACCAGCTGCCTCCTCTCCACTATATCCATCTGAACTATGTCGACCAGCTGGAGGAGACAGAGGGGGTGAACAGGTTTGTACTGAAAGCTCTGAGTACGAACATCAAACAGTTCTACTTCTACTCCCATAACTCTTCATGCACCCCAATCAAAGCCTACATGCCTAGCCTCACCAAGGCTCTCCCCTCCATTCCAGACTAAATCCATTTCTGGCAGTTCCAGATGAGCAAGGCTCAGTTCGAAGACCTCCTAGTGGCAGCCCAGCATTCCAAACAAGTAACTGTTGATTGTTGTAAGGTAGACACGGAGGAGGAACTTGACTTTGGAGACAGACTCGCCCACTCCACTTTTAAGAAGTTAAATTTGAACTATACTGGAGCAAGTAATTATAGTGACTGGAGCCAGAATGGATTCGCTCAGTTTAAGAACATTGTGAAGGGCTTGGCAAAGTAGATGAGATGAAGAATAGATCCGTAAAGCTGAATTTAGGGGGTTGTGGATTGACTAGAGACTTGGCACATTCAGTTTTACAAGAAAATGGAATGGTGAATGTGACATTGGAAGGAATTTAGAGAAGAATTGCTGAAATAAGAATAATTCAATGAGTCTTTTTAGTCCCGGGGTTTTGGGGTTTTGGGGTTTTGGGG